GTCGTCGTCGTCGGTTCAAAACCGAACACACTTTCCCGCCATCTCACCCACCGAGCCACCGGCATCGCACACATTTCAGGTGTATGTGCGCGTGAGTCCGTGTCCGCTGTGTTTGGATTCACTCGTCGCTTGTTTGTTGTTTGTGTTTTAATTTTTTTTGGTGACGACTCTTTAAAAAAAAAAAATTCACAATTTCCGAACAGTTTCCTCGAGTCTCTTCTGCTTCCTGTGCATACGTCTGCTTTTATTTGTTTTGTTTATTTGGGTGGTCCTTGTGGTTGTTTTTCTGTTTTTTTTAAAATGCTCACCTTGAATGCAGCAATTTACTCGCTTCTGTGGAATATCTCCTGTTTTAAAACAAACCTCATGCACAGCAGCTCCGTCCTCATCTCCATGTGGTTTCCCGCAGACGCCTTATTGTGTGTGGAGTCGAGGCGCCTCAGCTTGTTAATTAAAGGTTAATTAAAAGGTGCTACTTGTAATATTTTCGAGCATCAAAGCGACCGAGTCGCGCCGTTATAGATTCATAAAAGAAGAAGAGAATGGGTTCCCTGGAGATCAGATTTCCCTTGAACCCTGCCGCCGCTTCTTGTTCCGGTTCCTCCATTCAAACTCGCTCAACTTAAAGGAGAAGAAAGAAAAACTAAAGTCAAGTGATTTCGCCTTTGGCCTCCCGGCATTCATCTTCACCAGCAGCCACGTCTCTGGTAACGAGCGTTCCTACGCAGCCGGACGGCTTTGAAAGAAACTGGTTTTCTCGCTGAAAAGGTTCGAGTGTGACGTCGCAGGAAAAGCTTCCAGTTGGTTGGATTTAAAACTTTAAAACCTGTTTAACGACAGATTTGAAGCTTCTAAGCGTCTAATATTTGATTTGTTTGGCTGTAAAACGTCACAAACAAACCTTCAAAATGTAACTGAGGTTGTTGGTTAGGAACATTTATATTATAGAGCTTCTTAAATCTGGTAATACTGGAAGATCAGTGGCTAAGTTTAATACAAATTTAGCTGAAACATTACAAGGAAAAATGTGCTAACTTGCAGGAAAAAGACTGCAATGCATGGATGCATTTTAATAACGGTTAATTTAAGTTTAAAATCTGCCAAAATAAGACAGTTGTGGTGATTTATTTCACTAAAAAGTTGTGTTTTCGACTCTTTAGTGCCAAATAAACGCCATAAATTCCCTCTGTGCTCATATGTCCACGTGTTTTCTAGAGTTATTTGCAGGATCATGTTTATAATAATGTGAAATTTAAAATATTTAACAAAAAAAAGCATTTTAATTGCATTTGCTGCCAAATTTGGTTCAGATTTTTCACAATTTCTAGGAGAGGCATAAACACGTTTAAGCCTCGTGTCGTGTCAGTTTTATTAAAACCCATAAAGTCGACTTTGAGGCGTCGTGCTGAGGAAGCGACCGACTTACAGAATGTAAAACTAGCCTCTTTGCCAGCTTAGCGGTTAACCCTCTGAACCCTCTGAACCTCTGGCCGTCACGTTTTTAGTCACTGTGGGCTCGTTTTTCACTGCAACATAAAGTCCTGCACCTCGATGGAAACTTCACAACCATGACTAGAGGTACAGAGAGCTCAAAAACAAAACTATAATGTCATCTAACAACAACAGAACAAACAAAAGTTGAAAATATTTGATAATCGATTTTCACAAAATCTGCTCTGTGTGAACACGACCTGCAGTTCAGCCAAAAAAGTCCCAGAATTATACTCATGTGACTGTTGGTCACAGTTGAGTCATTCCTGGATTCTCAAATGCACTGAGAAGCACAGAATTTTTATTTTTTTACAGATCCTGTTTAGCACAAATTGTTTATTTTTGGCGATTAGTTTTTAAACAAGACAATTCAATGAAATATTTCTATATTGATATTGCAAAATCATGCAAATATCAGATTTGGTTAATTTTCCAGAAGAAACTAAAAGACCCACCTAATAACTTCAAGAGCTGCTGGAAAGATAAAAATCTGACAAATTTTTCTGTTTTTACAGTTTCTGGCACCAATAAACAGTTTAATTTTGGCGATTTTTTTTTTTTTAAATATAACACACCTTTAAATCTTGCTAATGACTTTTGGGGGTTCAGAGAGTTAAAGCACCAACTAAAGGCACAAAAATCCGTAAAACAACCACGTGTATAGAAGCAGGCAGCCACTTTTACGCAGCATTACATGTAAAATATGTAAATATGTCTAAATAAGAACACCTTGCTGCTGATGCTAATATGCTACACGTAGCACCTGCAGGATAAACCCTATGAAGCCAAGCTGCCTCCGTCTCTACACGACCTCGTTGCTGGACGTTTGTGTAACACGGCTTCTTCTTCTTCTTCTGCTCCCCCTCTTCCTCCCCCATCCTCCTCCTCCTCCTCCCCGTCTTCCCCCAGCAGCGGGCACCACAGCCAGCTCCAACGCCGGCGCCATGAACTCTCTGACCTCTCTGGGCACCCTGCAGGGCCTGGCAGGCGCCACCGTGGGCCTGAACAACATTAATGCACTAGCAGGTAGCGTCAACAGTGAGTATTCACCCTGCCATCAGCCACTCCACCCTCCACCACCACCCACCACCCATCCACCCGCCGTCACCCACACCCAGCGGCGGCGCCACCTCCACGGCCTCGATGCAGAGAGACGCGGCGACTCCCGGCGGACCGCCACATCGTTCGGGTTCGACCGGCTTTCTGATTGATTCTCACGCTGGGTTTTTAAATTAACCCTCTGAACCCTCAAACTGTTCCGAGGCATTTTTTTTCTTCATTAGCTGCATTTTTCACTCGCTGTGGGATCGTTTTTCACTCCAGTGTGAAGTCCTGCAGCTCTGAGGGAACCGGCAGAACCAGGGCTAGCAGCAGACAGAACTCAGAACCCACTTCTGTGCAGAATAATCAAATAATGAAGCCAAAAATATGAAAAAAGGAAAAAATATTGGTTAAATTTTTTTGATTATTTACAAAAATTCAACATGTACAACATTTTTACAAGTGTTACAAATACTGGACTAGTAATTTAATTTAAATAATAACTTAAATAATAATTATTTCCACTTTTTTCCTGTCTGCGTGGTGTGAACACTGCCTGCAGTTCAGCCAAAAATCCCTGAATTTTTTTCATTCACTGTTATTTAAAGCTGAGCCACAAATGGCTTCACGGTTGCTCCAAGAAGGACAGAATTTTTAGGTTTTTAGTCCAATCTGTGTAGAGCAATTTGCTACAAACAGCAAAACTGTGGCTAGAAGCAGAGAGAACTTATCAATTGTTTAAAAAAGAAAGAAAGAAAGAAAAAACTAACAAAAATAAAAGCATCATATACAGTTTTCCCCTCAGGTGCAGACAGATTTTACCAATTTTAGAGAAAGCTCTGCTAACTCTACACACCATAGATATTTTGCTGCTGCTTACATTTTTAATTTATTTCCATCCCTGCTTGCTGCCTTCTTGGTGTAAACACAGCCTGCAGTTCAATCTAATGTCACTCGTGGCTTTACTTTTGCAACGAGAAGTGCAAAATCTTTAGTTTCCTACAGAATCTTGTTAATGCAAGTGGTGTGTTTTTGATTTTTAAACGATAAAATATCAGGATTATTCTGTTGGAAGCACAAGTCACAGATGAATAGTCCAAGGACGGTGATTTAGTTTTAAAATACAGATAAAACGATGTGTTCAGAGGTTCAGAGGGTTAAACAAACCATCATATTTAACACTTTTAATTTCACGAATTAAATCTCACCTCTTGGTTTAGGTTTAATCCATTTAATTGGTTTTGCAAAATTAAGAAGAAGAAAAAAAAACAGCCCAAAACCCTCACAGCGAGTCGAGTCCATCAGAAACCACACGTCTGTCCGTCTCTGACGTCAGCAGATGTTCATGTGTTCTGATTAACGCACCACAAACTCAAAAACAGGAAACACACAGGTGAATATTCAGGATGTTCAGTTTATGTCGACGCAAACCAGCGTCCACAGAGTTTAGCTTCCTGTCGTCTCTCTGCGTCTCAGTTTGACGATGATTCAGCTCCTCCATCCATCCATCCATCCATCCATTCATCCATCTATCCATCCATCCATCCATCCATCCATCCATCCATCCAGCTCCAGACACCTCATCCCCCCATCCCTCCTCCATCCCTCCATGGCTTCCTGGTTGTGTCCCGGCTCGTGCTTGCTGCAGCAGAGCTGGTGTCCCGGCAGCGTCGGCTGCTGTCGCTGTTTGGGACCGACTCGTTCCTCGCTGTGTGGTTTTGTTCTGTCGTGTCTTCTGTCGTCTCTGGATTTTCCAAACCATAGAAGTCAAAAATGTCTTTTTTGCAGAATGGGACGGTTATAACTGCATAAAAAACAATTTAAAGAACAAGAAAACGCTGAATTTCTTGCATTTTTTTATTTTTAAAAATTAAATAAACGTGGAATCAACATTTTTCCAAAAGCCCACATGTGTTACCAAAACTAAAATGTTTAAAAATTGTGACTTTTAAAACTACAGATGTTCGTTTTTAAAACTTATTTCCATGTTTGTCTGTCTGCTCGGCGTAAAACACGGCCTGCAGTTCATCCTAGTTTAGCAGAAAAGTGTTGAATTTTTGGATGTTTTTACAGAATGTGGCTCGAACGCAACATTAGTTTATCACAAATTTAAAAACGAGACACGTAGAGTTAATCCATTTTGATGAAATACCACGATTTTGAGCTTAGATTTGGTTAATTTCACACGTTAAGTTAAGAATCTTCTGATTTTTTTTCAGTTTCTACAGTTTCTGGTTCTGATCAATGGTGGAATTTTGCCAATTTTTTAAAAACATTAAAATGCTTTTCAAACCTGCTGCTTGTGTTTTAGGATTCAGGAGCTTAACCCTGTTCAGGACTTTCATACGTAGAAGGTCTTTGGCGTCCATTGGACCCCAAGAAAGAAGATGTGCAAAATATTAGTTGGTATTCATGACAGACTTTAAAGACATTTTCTGATATGTTGACGTCCCAGTTTTGGTTCCAAATGCATGACAAATGTCCCTCATTTTATAGATTTAAAAAAAACAATACCTGTCACCTGAACCAAATGTCCAAAAGACTCCAAAAGTCCTGAACAGGGTTAAAGCAGGTAAATGTACTTTTTTCATGACGCTCATGTTTTTCCTGCACCTCTGTAGAAACGGCACAACCAAGACCTGAGAGAGAAAGAACCAGAACTTAACCCTCCATCTTATCAATATTCCTGCTGTTTGGATCCGGAGCAGATACTCCTGTATAGACCCACCGTGTTCGTCGTCCTGCCTCTGACCTCGGCGGGGACGAGGCCGGGGTCTTAATCAGAGCTGTTATGACAGCAGAGCTCCGGTCCTCGCGGCCTCTCCCACCACATTATTCTCTGCTGACCTTTAGCGCCCGCTCGGCTCCGCTCGCTGTATCCGCCGAGTAAATCACACGGAGGTGGCGAAAGACGCGAGCGTTTCCAAACGCTCTGCATCGCGCTCCGTCCCCGGAAACCCTTCCCCCTGCTCGTCCCTCCGCCCGCCCACCGACCGACCAACAGCCCTGATTTAAACACATCCAGGCCTTAATTGAATTGCAAAGGTCACCGGTGCAATTATTCCTGAATAAATGAGTGACCTATAATCCGGAGCGCCGCGGTGATAATTTATTTCACTGTGTCTGACGGCGAGGCGACAGGACGCCGAGGCGATGTCAGACCCCCTCAGACAAGTTGCCCTCCGCCGTGATATTAAGCCGTTACAAGCAGCTAATGAGTGTTACTGCTGCGTTCCTTCACTTTCTAAACTCGCCGCCGCCGCCAGCCTGTCCTCTCCCCCAAACAGAGACGTCACCGGCTGGAAAAAGAGCCGCAGAGTCACAAATCACTGTTTGGTTCACTTGGCTGCTCTGAACGGGTGGAAAAAACCTAAAAACAAGGGTTCAGGTCTGGGGTTTATAGTGGAATACGTCTCCAGATTATCCAGAATCGAGATTTATTTGAAATCTCTGAACCCCAAAACCCGCTGACAGGTTTGAAAGAGTGTTTTCTTTCTATAAAAATGGCCACAATTACAAAATTATCAGCCAGAAACTGCAAAAATTGGATGTTCAACTCCACGGTTTGTTTAAAATCTGCGTCTCACTTAAAAAATTGCTAAAAAACATCCTGTAAAAAGAAAAGAAAACTAAAGAAGCCACAACCGACTCGGCTCCAACCAACAGTCATGTGGCACAAATTCAGCGATTTTTCTCGGTTGAGCTGCAGGTTGTGTTTCTGCAGAGCCGACAGGAAACAAACGAGAGCAAATCGAACACATTTGAGCGATAAAATAATTGCAGTAAGTCGTTGGGCGACACATTCAGCACATCCAGCAGAGTGGAGGGAAATGCAGGATTTGTAGAAGTTGTTAAAAGGCAAGAAGTAAAATATTTACAGTTTAAAATCACCGTTTTTATCAAACAGATAAATCCATCAGGATGTTTTCTGACCGACCTGCATCATTAGAGGATAAAGGTCTGTTTTCTGCACAGTTCAGTGCAAAGGGACATAAAAAAAACAGACTAAAAGTCGTAAAATGAACTAAACCGAGTCAAAGATCAACAGTTTTAAACTGTATTCAGTACAACAAGTGATGCACGATATTAGAACTTCTGGCCGATACCGATATTAAGAGTTCTGATATTCAAGTTTTGTTCTCACCGAAATAAGTGTGAGAAGGTGGAAACTATTCAAAAGAAGCCCAAATTAGACCACACAGCCTTTATTATGTACACATTTTAATACAGCTGTTAGTGATCAAAAGTGAAAATCTTTAGTGTCAGAACACAAACTCCAACGTGAAACTTTGTCGAAACGCTTTTGTTCAATTACGTTTCACACATTTTTAATAAACACTCTGAAATCAACCTGCAGGTTTGAATTTTTTTAAAAATATGACTAGAATTACAGCAAAAAACTGCACAAACAGAAAGAATTTGAACTTTTCAGCTGCAAAATGAAACAAATCTTAGCTTAAAACTGCGATATTTCAACAACTTTATTCTGCCTGCTTCGATTTAAAATACGACCAGAAATGAAGTGTTTTCTTGAACTGGATTCTGTCGAAACAAAAGAAAAACATATTTAAGTCCAGGACCATTTAAGTGAAAACATCTATGAAATATCAGCAACATCAAACGTAGACACGAAGGCGCTGATGTTAGACAATCATCTGACCGATACCGATATATCGGAAAAAACACTAATATCAGCCGATACCGATGTGGTCGCTGATATATCGTGCATCCCTACCTAGAACCTATAATCATGTCTCTTTAATTTGCTCTGAAAACATAAATTATTTAACTGATAACTCAAATAAAACGCACTTTAATGTTCTTTAAACCTGAAAACCACCATAAACCTGCAGCTCCATGTTGAATCCAACAGGACTGACGTTCTGTGTGTTTATGTTTCCTTCATGTGATTCTCGTGACGTCTTCCATCCTGTGTGTGTGTGTTTGTGTGTGTGTGTTTTGTCGACGCAGTCTTTCTGTGTGTGTGTGTGTGTGTGTGTGTGTGTGTGTGTGTGTGTGTGTGTGTGTGTATGTGCGTGTGCATGCGGCGCTGCGAGCTTCTCACCTGGAGACACCTGTGCAGCTCTGGCCGTCATCAGCGACGCTCATTCTCTGATTACTGTGTTTAAACTAAACTGTGTGTGTCCTGTGTTGGCTGTCGTCCTCGTGCACTCGGTATCGGTGTGTCCTTTGTGTGTGTGTGTGTGTTTGTTGTGTGTGTTTGCGTGTCGTGACTCGTGTCGTGCGTCTTTTTTTGTGTGTGTGTGGTTAAAAACACAACCTTCAGTGGGAGCGCTAATGAGTAAGTGCACTCTTCTTTCTTTATTGTTGGGTTTTATGTAAAGTTGCTCAAATGCTCTCAGGTATGGCGGCTCTAAACGGAGGCCTGGGCGGCGCCGGGCTCACCAACGGGACGGCGGGCACCATGGACGCGCTGACGCAGGCTTACTCAGGGATCCAGCAGTACGCCGCCGCAGCGCTGCCCACCCTCTACAGCCAGTCCCTGCTGCAGCAGCAAGGGGCTGCCGGCAGCCAGAAAGAGGGTCAGTAGCCCGGGGCTGCATGTCTGCACATCAGTGCTGCTCAGTGGGAACCCGCCGTGTTTACAGCACAACTTTCTGCCCGAGCATGTGTTCAGCGCTTCCTCCAGGAGTCGCTCTGCAGGACGGCGAACTGGGAACACGAGGCGTTTACAGGGAACGCCGGCGGTCTTTGTTGTCGCTGCGCCGTGTGAAATGAAACCTTGTCAGGGCGCGAACACGCAATCAGACCACAGGGTTGTTTTAAAGTAGCCTCAGAAATGTACAAAATGTAGCATGAACAGAGCATCTAGAAGTTTAATCTATGAAAACAGGATGGCTTGTTTGGGGTATTCGAGCTATAAAAATAGTTCACGATGATGCACTTTTGGATTTTGCATATTTACAAAAATGTACGGGCTGTAAGTAGTGCAGCTGTATGTAAGTGTATGTGCAGATTCAGGTCACAAATAAAAGGTGCAAATGAGGAAAAAGGTGCAAAAAAGTGTAAAATCCAGATAAACTGCTGTTGGATCAGATTAAAAAATGCTTTGAGTGACAGAAATCAAAGCACAAGCCAGTTTAAAAACAGCTGCTTTTAAAAAATCAACCTTTTTTTTATTAAAATATTCAAACTTAACACAACTACACACTTTTTTAAAACCAAACTGTGTAACTTCAGCTTTTATCAGAGACCAACGTTCTCTTTTATTCATGTTTGCACCAAAGTCGATTTTTTAAAAGTCAGATTTCAAATCAACCAAACTTTCATTTAAAAAAAAGAATAATCCTGAATCCCAGTCAGACAACATTTCCTACACACTTCAGCTGCTTTAATGTCATAAACATGGGCAATCCAATATTTATATGTGCTTTACAACTGAAGAAAAACGCATTTCTGCATCCAAACCGCTCGTTAATGATCTATAACTGGTCGGGAACCTTGTTGTAAAGCTCCAATAGGACACTGTCTGAAATATGGTGTCAGGGTTTAGGATGTAGTGACGCTGCACAAGCTCCAAAAGACGGTAAAAACTTGTTTTCTCTACATGCATGTCAGAAAATGTATCGTAGATGAGCTGCAGTACCTGGTTGTTCCACCAGGTGGAGCCTCTTAGTGTTCTTAGCAAACAGAGTATTGTTTGGCTTGTAAAGGGGCGCCGTGACAAAGACGTGTATGACCGTTGGTGACCTCCGGACAGAGCTTATGAATTGAAGTTAAACAGCAACATAAATGTCAATTAATCCATTATTGATTTATAAGGCTGCCGATGATTGAATTAGGCCACAAACTGTCCCTTTCCTTCGTGAAACCTGTGTGACAGCTGACGTAAACAAAGACTGGTTGGTTTAAAACGTGCCTGAAGTGGCTCCAGTCTTTGGCATCGACTTGGAACATCCCTAAAAGAAATGTACCTAATTTGAGTTTTATTTTGACGGACTTTGGCGCGACTTTCATGGAAAAACTCAACATTAATTAGTCAAGGATCCATTCCTGTGTATTTGTGTTTTTTCCCCAAACTTTTTCGTGGATGCTTTTCTCGTTATTTTTGTCCCATCGTGGAAGACAAAATGTAAAATCGGTCAGCGTCGTTTCAAAGTGCCACCTACATACAGAACCTGGCAGCCACAGTTAAATGTACCGACAAAGCTTTAGTCGACGGCGCTGAATACAAAACCAGATGATGAAACGTCTCGTAAAAAAAAATAATAATAAAACTACAAATAGAGCCACATACTGTTTGTTTTGTCTCATCTGAGCTTCCAGCAAAGATAAAATTTGTAAAGAAGCCGTCTCGTCTTTGACAGTCCATCGGGGAGTTCAAAACCCTCCAGAGGAGACAAAGACGTGGCAAACACCGCGCTTCATTTAGCTGCCGAGAGCGCATCAAACCAGAGATCTGACCTATCAGGGCTATCAGGACGACGAGCGGGGATGGGCGACAACCTGCGACCCCTCTTAAGAGCGACGACGCGCCGCCGACAAGAACGGATAAATGAAAACGGGGCGACTACTTTTGTTTGTGGCCAGCCAAAATATAATTATTAAATGGAAACCAAAAGCTTTCATCCCTGTTGAATGTTCAATACAATCGCAGAATGTTGTTTAAAAGCAATAACAACCCAAGGTCATGCGATATTGTGCTAAGCGGTGTGCTTGAGCTCCGTTCCTATGACGACAGAGGCGGTCGCCACGGCGCAGCGCTGCCTCTCCTGCAGTTTCTGCTTCAATGAAATTAAAAAAAAAGAAATAAAATAATAGAACCCACTGTGACCTGATATCCGCTCTGCATTTCGTCCCGCCAGGTCCCGAAGGTGCCAACCTGTTCATCTACCACCTGCCCCAGGAGTTCGGAGACCAGGACATACTGCAGATGTTCATGCCTTTTGGAAACGTGGTCTCTGCCAAAGTCTTCATCGACAAACAGACAAACCTTAGCAAGTGCTTCGGTACGGCACCGGTTTGGGGTTTTCCCAACAAAACAAAAAACACAAAAAGAAGGGAAACACACACAAACACACAAACAGTTATTTTTCTTTTGGGGCCGAATCCCTTCAAGAACGAAGGTCTGGCCGACTCACGTAGCGTTCAAGATCCACGTCACACAACTGAAATATCTGCATGAGTAAAATAATAACCGATAAGGTGATGAACCCTCTGAACCCCAAGCAGGGAAACATTTTTACTCACTGTGGGCTCGTTTTTGACCGCAATATACCATGAAAAAGGAGAGAAATGTCTTCAGTGTGCAATGAAACTAAACTAAAGTGACATAAATCATTAAAAAAACGACTTGGAACCAACATGTGCAACATTGTTCCAAAAGACGTCCAATATTGGGGAAAAAAACCTGCAAACTCTACAGACTATAGATAAGTTACTAATTTACTTACGATTATTCGCTAAAGTTCAGTTGTGAGGATGTTGGTTGAGTCACTAACAGCTTCACAGTTGCGGCAAAAAGTGCAAATCTTTTTGTTTTC